GCGATGAAATTGTAGAAAAAAATGCGATAAATTGAAATAATATTCTAATAAATAGGACAGGTCAGTGATTTTGAATCACCAACTGCAATTCTTTGCCTCATTTTTTCTAAAGGCGCCATCATTACTGCGGTCAAGGTGCGTTTGAATAAGATGTGTGCCCACTTAATTAAAGCGTCGTGCTGATATATAGATATATCAACATCGTGTTATATCAACGCTCACTAAAGTTCATAAGACAGCCTCGTATTAAAGTTNCTCTCATTGATCCGTGAATAACTGGATTAACTTTCATTATCATGAAAATAAGATACCTTAGGATCCTTGCCAACTGCCAGTAATGAGCAACACGCTGTACGAGGCACGGAGTTGCGCAATCGATCCGCAGTGTGGCACCGACAAGACGACTCAGGAGCACGTCACTTTCAGTTACAAGTGAGCGTACATACACAGTTACAGAGTTCTTACGAATAGAGCTATTAAATGTCAGAGTGAATGGTCATATATAATTTAATATTAACTAAGAACAACAATAACGAATAACTGCTATGAAAATATCTGTAAAAAATATTGAATAACTTGTAATCTTGTGAAATTTAAGTGGACAAAAGAAAAATACATCAAATAAGTATATCCGCGATTCTTCAGATCATCAACAAAAAGTAAATAAGCTGAAATAGACCGTGAAAAAAGTTCCCTTCTCTCAGCATCAGTTGATTAACCACGTGATTTGACCTCCTTGCATCTACGGTTACAATAAAAGGTTAAACAACGAAAAATGATAGAATTTACACGAATAAACTCAATATTTATGTTGAATTTTATAAAAAATAATGTAATTTGAAAATAGTTCACGAAGATCAAAACACCGCACATGAACCTAATTGCCAACCACACACCCTGACAGCTGAGCTCGCACTGGCAGCCTTCCACAGAATCCGTCGCCTGCTCGGCACTCAGCTCTCGGTACGGCGGAATCTAATGAAATCTGTGATACCGCGAATAATGCGTTGATAACGGCTGTGTGTCTTGTTATTGTGATGCGGAACAAAGCTTTTTGTGGAGTTAGAAGTTGAGGGTGGTTTAAAGACGTTGAGAATTGATGGTTGGATATTACATAAAGGATATTAAAGGGTAGTCCAGTGGTTGGGCAGGGTGACCCAGTGGTTAAAGTTCAGAGTACCAAGATTGGAGCAGCAGAGGTGCAGGTTCGATCCCAGCTCTGTGCGCCAGTTTCTGCATGTCAGATTCAGCAAGGAGACCGGGCGGTTAATTAATCAATGAAAACTATGAATCAGTGAGTTGCGAGTTCACGCCCGCAACAAGCTGTGGATGTTCTGCAATGTTAAGAATCGGCGACAGGTCTACGGCTTAATAAACGCTGAAACCATTATATATATTTATATATTATGTAAAGTTTTGGATATTGCTTTGATCGACAGAAATCCAGTAAGGATATTTCGTAGGAACAAAGTTGCGGGGAAATAAAGACATCAAGCCTCTGAATTAGGTAGGAAATTGGTGTGCTTATTGTTGGAAAAAGTTAAGGTCTCGTGCGCTTGTAAATATTTATACGGTCTGGTGTATTAAGAAGACATTAACGCTTGGGGTATAAAAGTCACAAGCAAGTTCGGTCGAGTGAAGGAGATCAACCAAGATCGGTTGAAATGAAGATCAGTTGAACTGAAGATCAGTTGAACTGAAGATAAGTTGAACTGAATATCGGTTGAACTGAAGATCAGTTGAACTGAAGATCAGTTGAACGAAGATCAGTTGAACTGAAGATCGGTTGAACTGAAGATAAGTTGAACTGAATATCGGTTGAACTGAAGATCAGTTGAACTGAAGATCAGTTGAACTGAAGATCAGTTGAACTGAAGATCAGTTGAACTGAAGATCGGTTGAACTGAAGATCGGTTGAACTGAAGATCGGTTGAACTGAACGAAGTCACTGAGAACGAGAACAGTTCCAGTGTCGGGAACCGCACGACGGATCAATATCTTCCTGTGAAATAGGAAGTTGGGGTGATGTAGAGTGATAGAAATCACTTTGGAATTTGTTCTGGTTACATTTTTCTTTGCCTACAAAGATTTTTTTTTTTTCATTTTGAAATGTGAACTTGTATTAACAAGTATGGTAGCCAGTATAATTTTAAAGTGCTTAATTATAACCTTCTCTATCTACTCTTATTGTTGCGGCCCCATCATAAGAGAATGTTAATTACTCATCCTACTCCTAGGAGGAAAACATTTGACGCTAATCGAACGCATACATAATAGAAGGACCGACCGAAAACAGCGATATAAAAGAAAATAGTTTATGTGTCAGATGTTTACTGCAAATCTGTTCCATTTGTCAGCACTTGAACTGCAGAATATAGAGCTGCCTTAGTATACTCAGTGTACGTGTGAGTTAATTAATCTCAACGAGCTAATTAGTGAGTTGGGGCAAATTTTTTCAACTGTGCTATTTCTATATTATTTCATCAATCCAGAATCAGGAGTGCAGTCTTTCTATGTTAATTTCCATTGCATTTTCAAATCTTATCTCATAAAAGTTCCATGGGCCTTGACTGCCGCAGCAATGACTAGGAAATGATCGAGACTGAAAAAAAATTTTCGTCCAAAATTTATGTCCGATTTACTAAAAAATTTGTCTTCTAACACCTATCCCACAGTAAAAATGTTTAAAAGTTTTCTCGTGACGTTAAATTTTCACGAGCATAGATAGACAATATGTTCATCAAAGTGTAAAAATTCGGTTATTGATGATTTTCTTGATTAATTGTGTTTCCATCGAGCTAGCTCCCTCGATGGACAAACAATTATTCTCAATAGCAAACCACAAACCACACCTTCAATAACTGCATGCGCTCAAATGTGCAAACTTGCTGTTCTGAAAGACGATAAAAAAATCATAGTAATTCCCAATAAAGCAAGTCAGCGTGGTTTAAATTACTTCCCTTGAAACACTGCAATTGGATCAAACTGTTCCATATTTGTGCCAATCTGCGTTAAATGTCGCATTGGCAAACCCAATTCAGAACGGTTACGAAAAATTGTTTTCAGCAATTAATGCTCACGTCATAGTATTTTTAGTGAACCTTAACATTTTATGTTAATTTAAATACCTCGGAGTTGCTGAAACCCTCGCGAGATTAATTTCTTTACATTATTCACAAGCGAAAATATAATTTATGGGCTGCTCGACTTATCAAGTTCGACAAATCGCCTTTGAATGAGGAAAATTATTTTTTAAATATATAAATAAGTGACTTAAAGTGAACACTTGCACAATTAGATGAATGAAATTGTGATCTATAAATCGAATCTTACCTGGAAACAGGTACATTCAACTCGAAAATCGGGTTTCGCTTCAGAATATGTAGAAGCGACCTATTTAAACACTTATTTCTCCTCAACAAAACGTATTTCGATACGGATTTCTCAACAGGTTTATCAGCTCGTATAATCTAAATCTGATTTGTCGTTTTTTTCTGACGTTTTCTTTTGATTGCAGCAATTTTGATGTAGTTTTTATATTTTCTTGATGAATTCGGAGTTGAATGGCCATCTTTTTTTTTTTGTGCAGCCGCGCGACCGATTCTAATTCCGTACGTTAACCCCATTTATATTAGGTGTTGCTGGGTCACACGTGCTGCCTTACGGATTAAATTTTGGTCCACCTGCCTGTCGGTAAATGAATGTATGTTATATGCACTCTGTTGAGACTAAATGTGTCGTTTCGGTTGATGCGACACAATTAGTCAATTGTATTGATGAACTGCGGTTGACACAATAGGTTGATGAACTGCGAAGACTGTAATATTTCATAAAGTTGTAATTTCATAAGTGGTGAATATATGCTTTCAATATATCGTCGAATTAGATATTGTGAACGATAATTAAAAAAAAACGGCCACAGGTTCGGCATCTAGCTTAATTTTATTTTTTGGCTATCGTCTCTAAACTTTTCTTTGGGAGATAAAATGGGAAGGAAAATTCACAGGCAGCAAATAAAATAAAAATTTATTCTAAGTAAAACTGTACACGGTAAAAAATAAAGGCACATCTCTTTGGTAATCTCCTGACTCCTCATTCTTTATAAAATGTACAGCTAAACAAAAACATGCTCATCTACACTAAAAAATGTACACTACAAATTAATATAATTCAAATGCCAGAAAGTTATTATTTCTTTAGGCAAGTCTAGTAATATGTTTTCAAACTTATCACACACAATGAGAGTATGTCATTCAGGAGCGGTTATGTGGTAAAACCGAATATACAAAATTACATAACGATTAGGTTTGAAAATTAAAAATTGTCTATAAAGATCAGAAAAAACATTAATATCCGGGAAGAAACGGTGTATTAAAATGTTGGCTATCAAAATGCGCATAAATAATCTATCATCGTCGTTGAACCTACGAAAATAGAGTCTGCGATTCATGAGTATACGACTCGTAATTCAGAATGAATATTCTGTATCGTAGACGAAAAGCATGGAAATATCGACTGTGATGAATTTATGTGAAATAATTGTGATTCAAATTTATACATTTAGCTGTGATATAATTGCCCTTAATTGCATTGTCATATTTTGCATTGTCAAACGGAAAAATTTAACTAAATTCGGTCCTAAAATACGAAATAAAAATGTCAATCATCACGACTTTTTCACAAACTTTCGTGAAAAATGTTTCACGTTTCACAAACTTTTATGGAACCTTCCAGTTGTTTATTAATTATGTGACGACGATAAAATATTATCGGTAATTTCCAGCAGACTTGGACGCAAAATGAGTTTAAACTGAATAAAATTATTTGAAAAAATGTGAAGAAATGCTATTCATGATAGCAGGCAAGAATTGTACTAAAAGACTGAGCGATATGAATAATATAAATATAAATACGGCTGTCCTAATTTCAGGATTAATCGTTCCATTAGTGGTCAATTTATATGAAGAATAAAAATCATCAACGTATTGAAAATTGTTCCGACGTTCAATTGATTTAATACTTGAATGATGCAAAAAAATAAATTTAATACAGTAAGTGATAAGTCAACACTGATATAATTTAGCATATTAACAGATCTGTTAAATATAGCAATTTAACAGATTTCTTATCTTCATTCTTCAGAGATTTGTAAGAATCAACTAACGTATTTATTTCATAGCCAACATACAAAGAATGGAGAGGTCAGGAGGAAGGCATTCAAGATCGGAGAAAGATATTTTATGTACAAGGGACACATTATAGGTATTTCATGAAGCAAATGAAATGAAGAAAACAATTTAAATAATGATAGAAGAATAAGTTATTTTGTAAATTATAATTAAGTTATAGTGGTATGGGGCTTTAGGACAATAAGGAAGACAAGAAAACAGCTGAAGATGACAACAAGCAGCGTTGTAGGAGTAATTTTCACACGACTTGAGACAGTTTATCAGTGTATTGAAATACGACAGCTCGTTAGATGTAATTAAATAATCAAAGTATTATACTTCAACAATGAACAACGGGACACAAATTTACGACAGAAATAATGGAGATTGTTGCAGCACGTTTTCAAATGTTTATCGAAAAGGTTGTGAACTGAATTGATAAACATTATAAGAGGATAAAAATACGCTGCAATGTTCACTCGGAATTTTCTAGTCGTAAAAAGGTCTTCACACCAAAGTAGCTGAACGCTTATTAGTAACGGTAGCAGGGACAGCCTGATGGAGAGGTGTTCCCTCCCAGGAAGGGGTGTTAGGTGCACCAGGTGAAGGGTGGCTACCAACTCCCTGACAAGTATAAGGAGCCAGCGACTGGTAGATACCCTTTTGTTGAGCAGCAGGAGTAGACTGCTTAGCTATTACGTTAGGGGAGGGCGGCGCAGCCTTGCTGCTACTAACAACAACTTGAGCTCTTGGTGGAAGCACGGGTGACATATGATTACTGTCCGAGCCGTTACTGAAGCTGCTGTTACTGCTGTTCATGCCTGAACCATGCATTTGCTTACGATATTTCGTACTATATTTGTAGAAGTCAGCCATTTCGAATGGTTTGCTCACTTCTCGGGATGGCTGGTAGGAACCCGTGGAGATAATCACTGATTGGTCTCTCTCATTAGGGCTATTAGATGGAAGTTCAGGCGATAGAGCAGAAGATGACACGTCATTATTCGACGACACCGCAGTCGCACTGGCTGAGGCAATGCCTGGAAATTTCGATATAACAATTTCCGCTGCCGCACATTTTTGCGGTTTCCGGCCGGAACCTGGTGAATCCAAGCTAGTTTCGTACCATTCTCTTTCTCGGTCTTTTTTCAGATTGGCAGCTTCGGCTAAACTCATGAGCGGCTCAGCATTACTATTACTCCCATGGTATTCACCTCGGGGATTTGTGGCTTTAAGAGGGGGAAGCTCGCTACTGGATTTGGTCGCCCTAAGGGGAATAAGGTCAGCTGCAGGTAGCAGCCTCGGAGGGGCGAGGTCGGCAGGAGTAACGCTGGCCGAGGCTCGTAAATGAACACCTGTTGGCTTAAGAGGTAACAACTGCTCAGAAGGAACAACTCGTTTAACGGGAGGAATATTTTCTTGGTTAGAGGTAGTGGAAGACGCCGAAGAACAGTCGCCCAAAAACGTAGTTTCCATATAACTTCTCCCACTGGATGTTCTGACTAAGGTATGGATTGGTTCTGGATTCAGATCATCCGACTTTGAGCAGCTTTGATAAGAATGTTCATCTGAATGCGGGAAAGAAGAATTCGAGTAGTTCTGAGATACCGGGGCAGGGTGGGTGGCATTCGGGTGGCCATCCGAGACATCAGCGTTTGACTGTCGCGTATCACATGAGCTGTCAGCGCCGCACCCACTGTCACTGGCAGTCAATTCTTTACTTTGGCCGTGCCGAGAGCGACTAGGCGAAGACACGTTCTCGGGAGAAACTTTAGCCAAAACTTCCCGTTGGGTTTGGCTAGTGCTGTAACTTTGGTGCGGTGGAGGCGTTGGATAGCTGCTGTTTATGGTCTGATGAGGGTTGTAATACGATGGCTCTTGAGAAGTTCTTCTTTGCATTTCGCGAACATAACCAGCATTCGTTTGACGATGATCGTTATGGATACCGTGAGAAGAGGGTGAATAATAAGCTCCATGATGATCCTGAAAATACATCCCGTTATTTTGAGGAGTGTGGTGCTGAACAGGACCCATTGAATACCCATTATGTGGGTTCCCACCGACATACGGGGAGTACAAGCTCTGCCGATTAGGAGGAGTACAGTGGTTGCCACTCGTACTTGAACTGATAGAACTGCTGGTGGTGTTGTGTGGTTGTGACGAGCTAAGGGAGCTGCCACTTGTGTTATGCATGGCAGAACTATTACTATGGCGTAATTTACTGCCCGATGTATGCCTACGTGCTTGGTGGTTGTAGTGGAAGTTGACATTAGGACCTTGTTGGACCAACTGATGCGGGTCGAAATGTTCAGGTACTCGAGGAGTCCCAGACTGGTAATGAGGATGGTAGTTGAAGAGAGCCCCATCAAGCAATTGGCAAGCTGCCGCGTGGTCGGGAGTGTCAGGAGTTGTTCTGAAGACCTCCGCCCTGCTGGCGCTATTCCCTCGACGGCGGTCTGAACTGAGGGGCCTGAGGTGGGGGCAGAGGGTCAGACAATACGACGAAGGATCATGCAGATAAAAGAGGAAGGAGATTTGTGTAAAAACGGAACAGTAAATCAAGCAAACTCAATGATGGCCTAGGGAAGCAGTCTTTATCTTAGTGGATCACATTGTCGGGATATCTGAAGAATCCAATATGACGTCTTCATGTGGAACTTAGATCGGTATTCTTTTCAATTATCAAAGGTAATTTGAGATTAGCACGAATTAACTGAAATTAGGTAACATTTAATTCTGCCAATTTAGTTCATGCACAATAATGGTTATTAATATTTTTCGATTACTGAACAGTTGAACATTCGAGTAAAATAAAATGAAATAGGAAATAAAAATAATTTTATAACGAATTAATTGAAAAATTTGTAAGCCAGTGAAACGTGAACAAAATTAAAGCTCGGAATTAACGGATTAGCTCATCTTGAAAAATTGCTATAAGTATTTTCGGAATAAAAAATATTTTGGAAAGTAATACCAACTTTTCATCAATAACTTGAAGTAGATTACTGAAGTATTAATTAAATGATTATAAGTAGTACTATATTACGTTATGGCTCAAATGACTTCAATCGGCAATGCAACATACATATGCATATGCAAAATTTTCCAACCCCTGGGATCTCCTGAATTAAATAACAAAATTAAAGACAATAAAGAAACATTGAAATTGAGACAACATGCAAAAAAAAATAAAAAACAGCCAGTCAGAAAAAAAGACATAAGAAGATGTCATGCTTAAATTATCAAACTAAAAGAGGAGGGGGAGCCGACCTATCAGGCATCTGCATGCGGTGCCGTCTGTTGCTGTGGAGGTGGGGCAGGTGGTTGTGGTGGTGAGGGTGGTGGAACGAGGGGGAGTGTTGTGCGTTAGGGGAACTCGAGTGTTGTGTGTGAGTTCTGTCTATACTAGCGGAGTCGCAGTACGAAGGTTTCGAAGGCGAACTGCACGAAGAAGATCCAGTAGAATCTAAGTTATTCATGCTCTGGGTGCTGAGGGTCTCTCGTTGGCGCGAGGAAATATTGTAGAGTCCCCCCGGGAAAGATAACTTTTCGCCTTCGAGGATCGCGGTGTCTACACAAAGATTTAAAGGGTCGCGTGTGAGATGAGCTTCGTATGACAACCTGCTGGGGTCTAATTCTCGAGGTACCGATCTCGACTGCCTCATGTTCGGAGGTCGACTTTCGTGATTCTTATCCAGCAGCGCCACCGTCAACGTGTCGCTCAGGTCCTGCAAGGAAGCATTCCCCCCGACGACCGAGCACCGGGAATCATAAAGAGACGGCCTTGCAAGACCTTCCGTAAATTCTTGCTGGTGAGAGTGGGCGCTCTCTAACAAATCGAGTCCGGTGTTGTCGTCATGCTGCAGTTGGTCGTTGTTCGTGTCGCCCGTGGTATCGCGTCGTTCTGAAGTCACGATGGTGGTGGTCGTTATGTAAGTCAGACAACTGACGATAGATGCAACAGAAGACGACGAAATTTGACCATTATCATTCCATGACCTCGAAAAAGTATCTCTAAAGGAGGCTGGTGAAGCTGTTGATCTTGACCGCGTGGGGAGCGTGGGGAAGCGTTGACTGCGATACTGACTGCACGCGTACACTGAGTTGGGAATGTATCCGCTGCAACACACATGCATCAAGTCAGAAAAGATACAGTGAAGTGTAGTCAACCTCAGCTTCCGTCCAAGACAATGTCAGTCATTGACAAATGCGTGACTCGTCGTAGATGTGAAGGTATAATTCGTACAACAACGGTCGTCTTGTACAGTCAATGTATTGATGAATGGATTAGTGGAAAGTTATTGTCCAGCTTAAGTTACGCACTGGATTGATTGAGAGTGTAAAGAAATGGTGGCATCTGTCCTTGACTCTCCGGCAAGTTGCAAATGATTCAGGTTATTGGTCGTTCAGGAAACGCAATTAATTTCAGCGCTACAAGAATTTCAAGTGATTTTTTAAGGATTAAAAATTGATCAATTCAGAAAAAAATGTATCTCTAAGAATTTACGACGTTTAAAGGGAAGATAAACTAGTGTTTAGAATGACGTTCAAAATAAGAAGTTATTTTTTTGCATAGCATTTATACCTAAAATGATCCGGAAAAGAGTGTATATAGCTCTGAAGACACTCATTGTCAACCCATGAAGTTCTGAATGAGATGTTCAAATTGATTCATAGAAATGTTTTTATTAAAGTCAAAGGTAACAAAGAATATAAGCTACTCAAGTTTTAGCAAATAATGTTGAATGTCTAAATGTTATATAATGTACTGAAAATATAGTTTGCATTAAACTGTAGTCAAAACACCACGTGCTGCAAGGAAGAAGTCGAGATGGGAGCCAGGGTCGAGAGGTCGTACAGAAGAATCATAGGAACAGCCACAAGGACCAAATACATCCAAGATAATCATTTAATAATACGTGTTTCATGACGGGTACACGACGTCCGAGACTAATCATATGAGAGTCAATACTCGATTCAGAAAAGAAACATTAATTGCATCAATGACAGATAAACCAACATACCCAAGTTCCCATAACAATCATGTTCAATGTTCAGTCCTTCATGCATTTCCCGAAAAATAAATTTAAAAATCAGTAAAGAAGGTTCATAGAATTTTGATGTAGCATTCAGTGTGGTTTGATGTAGAGAGTACTAGCATTACTACACCGTGGAAAAAATAAGTTCCTTTCAGAGCCCCAAGAGTTTAAAAGCCTTTGTTATTGCCTAATATTAATTCAAACTTGGACTTGGATTCTTAAAGAACCCAAATGTGTACGGCTAAAATATTCGTTAGGTGAACAAGACGGTACCTGGATGGGCAAGAAGGGCTTGTGGGTCTCGAGCTCGACGAACTTGTCATGGTAGAGTTGTGGACCGACCCACTACCATCACCAAGACTACCACCACCACCACCACCACCAGCATCACCACCTCCACCACTGTTGCTGCTGCAGGTGCTGGCGGCGCTGCGGTAGGGACTGGCTGGAGCAGAACCGCGAGTGCGATGCGGAGATCTGTCTCTCTGTCTGCCACTGTCTGTATTGTCGTGGTGGTTGTTCCTGCCATTCTGTCGGCTGCCGTCAGATGTGTCACGAGGGGTGATGGTACTGTTCCTGTCACTCTGTCTACTGCTGTCTGAAGTATCGTGAGAGGTGAAGGTGCTATTTCTGTCGCGTAGTCTGCTGCCATTTGCATCATGGAGAGTGAGGGTGTTATTGAGGGAAGGTGAGGGCAAAGTGGACTGGAACCCTGTCAAGTCTCTGGGAGATTCACGACCACTGCCAGCACTTGAGCTCAGACTGCCTGTGATGCCAGAGTCTTCAATGCCTGTTAGAAAAACGGCGTTAATGCTATGCTGGTTTAAAATTAGTAATTAAAGATAACGAATACGATCTTTATTAGTCCCGCTCAACGACAAAATTTTATGTACACAGAAACTCATTAAAGTTCCCTTAGACAACTCGAAATGTTAATTAAGTTATCACAAGAACACCGTTCTTTAATGGCTTAAAACCAAGTTAAATCATCGTGTAAGCTCAGCATGGTCGGACAGAAACACAGTGCGTAGATTGCAATCCTTCTCATCAATGTGCGAACTGTTCCTACCAGCGAATACCTCAACGCAGGGCCGCTAAACTCACCCTCGCAGTCAGACAAAGGCCTCGGTTTCTTCTTCTGTTTGGGGAGCGTGGAGGCCGTGACAACAGCTTTACTCCTGGCTTGCTTCAACTTCTGTTCGAGCTCGCGCAGTCTGTGGGCAGACTGCTGGTACGACAGCTTGCGTTGTCGGCGCACGCCTTTGCGCGCAGTGCTCTCGTTTGCGAGTCGCAGAGCAGCGCTCGTAATCTTGGCCATGATCTCGCACTCCAACTCCAGCGCAGAGACTGTCTCTTCCTGAAATTATACAGGGGTTAGACGACATAATGGAAACACCTGAAAAATCAACAGAATATATTTTAGTTAGATGTAGGTCCGCCTTTTGCGGCAATTACAACCTCAATTCTCCGCGGCATTCATTCATTCATACATATTGTGAATTGTTTCCAAAAGAATTTTAACCCATTCTTCAGTTAAAACTCCCTCCGGCTCTTTTAAAGACAATGGCGGTGGGAATCGACTTCTGACTTTCCTCTCTAAAATTGACCATAAATGCTCGATAATATTCAGGTCCGGTGATTTTGGTGGCCAAATGAGATGCTCAACTTCAATAATGTTCCTCGTGACATTTTTAAACAATTATTTATAACAAACGCACTTTTATGAATAAATTACTATTTATTATGTTCACAAACCGATAGCAGGAAATTAATTATAAATGTTATTTTCCTCAAACATTCACTACGCATTCATGAGACAATTAGAATTTTTTTTTTCAAATTTGGCCAACTGCGAGACAAAATGTTACCTGCTTATTGATGATTTTATCAATGATGCTCTCATCTAGAGCGAATGAAGTTCCGACCCTTTTCCTGACAGAGGGGGGTGGTTGGCCAGGAACCAGGGGGTACTCGGGGGGCAGTTCCCCCGTAAGCTCCCCCTCCCGGAGACACAAGAGCCTCAGCTCCTCTGTCTTGGCGCTGAGCTTCTCCTGCAGGCCGCTCCTGCGCAGCCGTAGCGCCTCCAACATCTCCAGCCGCGCCGCCTCCAGGCTCTCGCTGCTGCCGCTCTCTGCAACGTTGCAGAAAACTCTAACTGTAGGTCGACTGATAACTGTAAGTCTGTAAGACTACAGACTAACGACTGTAATTGTATTAAGCCTGACGACTGTAAGTCTGTACGTAAGACTATAGACTAACGACTGTAAATCTGTAAGTAAGACTACAAGTGGACGAGCTTGGGGGACTAACGACTGTAACTCTGAATAATGACTTCAGAATAACGACAGTAAGTGTAAGTAAGACTACAGATTAACGACTGTAAGTCTGAAGAGTGACTTCAAAATAACTACAGTATGTGTAAGACTACAGACTAACTGTAATTCTGTAAGTAAGACTACAGATCAACGACTGTAACTCTGAATAGTGACTTCAAAATAACAACAGTAAGTGTAAGTAACACTACAGACCAACGACTGTAAGTCTGAAGAGTCACGAAAATATCAACAAATAGCGGCAGATGACACCATGCCTATATTCTTCAGCACTGACAATCCAGTGTTTAGTTAACTCCTTCAGGAACTCGGGCGCATATGTTCTACCTCAGTGAGAGTCACGATACAAAACTAGGCTATGAAAGTGAGATGAATGAAGTAGCCAGAAGGCGCCTGATGTCAGTAAAACTTCAGCAGAATGAGACAGAAATTAGGAGACAGTAGAGCAAACGCTATCACAAAAGCAAGGTGAAGGATTATATCGGAATGCTCGTCTTCCTCGAAGTAGGAAGTGCGTCAGAGAGTTAAGTGTCCGTTGCATTGAATGCTACATGAACTCTAACCAGTAGTCCAGATGAACATCAGTCTACATGCAAATAACAGATAGAATAACTACCTTGTATAAGAGCGAGTGAGAGAGTTACCAGCTATTGTAAGAGAGGGTAGAGAGTTACCAGCTTGTATAAGAGAGTGAGAGATATACCAGCTGTTGTAAGAGAGAGTGAGAGACTTACCAGCTGTTGTAAGAGAGAGTGAGAGACTTACCAGCTGTTGTAAGAAAGAGTGAGAGAGTTGACAGCTATTGTAAGAGAGAGTGAGAGAGTTACCAGCTTGTATACGAGAGAGTGAGAGAGTTACAAGCTTGTATAAAACAGAGTGAGAGTGTAACCAGCTTGTATAAGAGAGAGTGAGAGAGTTACCAGCTTGTATAAGAGAGAGTGAGAGAGTTACCAGCTTGTATAAGAGAGAGTGAGAGTGTAACCAGCTTGTATAAGAGAGTGAGAGAGTTACCAGCTTGTATAAGAGAGAGTGAGAGTGTAACCAGCTGTTTTAAGAGAGGGTGAGAGAGTTGCCAGCTGGTATAAGAGCGAGTGAGAGAGTTACCAGCTGGTATAAGAGGGAGTGAGAGAGTTACCAGCCGGTATAAGAAGGAGTGAGAGAGTTACCAGCTTGTATAAGGGAGAGTGAGAGAGTTACCCGCTTGTATAAGAGAGAGTGAGAGAGTTACCAGCTTGTATTCGAGAGAGTGAGAGAGTTACCAGCTTGTATAAGAGGGAGTGAGAGAGTTACCAGCTTGTATAAGAGAGAGTGAGAGAGTTACCAGCTTGTATAAGAGAGAGTGAGAGAGTTACCAGCTTGTATAAGAGAGAGTGAGAGAGTTACCAGCTTGTATAAAAGAGAGTGAGAGACTTACCAGCTAGTATAAGAGGGAAAGAGAGTTACCAGCTTTTATAAGATGAAAGTAAAGTTACCGGCTTGAGAGTGCTGCTGTAGAGAAGAGTGTGAGCCTGAGCGTGACAAGTTGCTGGAGGAGGAGTGAGTGGAGAGGGACAGGCAACTGCGCGACAGATCCACGGCCAACTCAGGCATGTCGCACACCGCGCTCTGCTCCTCGCTCTGAAGTGCCCACAACAAATTCAAGAAAATTAAATACAAATTAAATTTATTATAAATAGACAGCATTTGCACATTTTAATAAAGAGGCAGCACCTGCAAGTTATTATAAACAGAAAGCATTTGTAAGTATCAAAGAATATTCCAAACCTAGAAATATCGTCAAAAAATATAAAAACGAAAGAAAATATGCAGTAAATATTTCAAAACAACAAAAAGTTTAGAAAGTTATGAGTGAACATCTGCAATATATTTAACAGGACGCAACATCGACCTAATCTCACAATATCGAAAGTTAAAAACGAAAAATTTGATAATATTGTTAAGATATTTTCCATAATTTGAAATGTGTCTAAAATGAAACTGTGCAATCTGAATAAAAAATATAGTAAATATAACGAATTTTTCTCTTAAAACACCGTCATCACGAAAAATAATTGCAACCCTTAAAACCTCCAGGAATGTTCTCACATATATAATATCTCACTCATATATAATATCTCACATACGGTATATAATATATCACATATATAATATCTGACATATAAAATATCTCACATATATAATATATCAGATATATAACATCTCACATATATAGTATCTCACATTAGAAGAAAAATAGAGGAAGCACTCTCACCCTTAATGCTTTAGTGTCGAGGTAGAACTGATGCTGGGCGATCGCCATGGACCAGATTGCCTTGCACTGAGCCTGAGACTCGGCGAACCAGACGTGAACCGTGACGCTCGCTGACGCCGAACCCAAGCTACGCCGGGACACGCATACGCTGCACGCAATCACATCCGTCAGGTTAAATTGCACTAAAATAGATAATAAAGCTGCCCTAATTAGGGCCAAGCATGTCGGAGAGATAATGTACTCGAAGCATAGACGGACCAAAATTAGAACTTAAAGAGAGCTACCGCTACAACGGACCACAAATTAGAACTTGAAGAGAGCTACCGCTACAACGGACCACAAATTAGAACTTAAAGAGAGCTACCGCTACAACGGACCACAGATTAGAACTTAAAAGATAGCTACCACAACACATACAGGAAGGGTGCATTTTCGCTTGAATATATTCATGCATACTTGGCATTTGCAACACATTAATTTCAGGTACCTAGCAAACGTATTGCACAAAAATTCCAGTAGTGGTCAAAAGAATTACATGTTTCATAATTTTGTGCGACGACGGGATCAGAAGAACCAGTATAAAGTGCATGGCGAACACTCGATGAAATTAGAAACATTACAGTAACTTTTATACTGAAGTTCAATTCAGCGTAGGTAGTATACGCATTGTTTAGTGAAGGCCGTGACCAATCAAACTGTTCTATTGCAAACATTTGGTGGTAGGTTTGTATTTTTTGAAAACTCAAATATCTATCCTGAGAAGTGGAGAAATTTGAGAAATTAAAATAATTGATGATTTTATTATTTGTTTGTACATGGTAGTGAGTATTGATGGAGATATAAACTATATGTGCACCTTGAGTGCATTTCAGTAATGCAGTATCAGATCCTCTAGTCCTATAAATAGGAAATATTCTAAAGAATGTTTTAAGTAATTCCGTTAAGATATTTATATAACGACCACATATAGACTTCTTAATGTCATATTAGTTGCACTTACCGCTTAGGATCAAGAACTTCAATGGAGAACTTGCGTTCTCTGAAATAAATGTTCTCGAGCTGTCGCCAGAGAAAAACTCGTCTAGGTTTTCTCTTGTCGAGGTAATCGTACTGAGAAATTCCTCTATTGCTAAGTCCGATGTACCAAGGCAAATCGTTGCGATCCTTGACGTCGTAGTAATGAATTCCGTAGGTGGGCAATGACTCGACTTCTCGCATAAACCTGGCAAATAAATAAAATGTAATGAAAAGAATTCCCAGTTAACATACTTAAGTTATATAATATGTACTCCTCATGATTATGATTGCATCTTAATGTGAGTGATATGCCATGTATTGATGTTTTACATATTAATTGTTTAGATTTAATAATCGATCTCTAAGCAATGATCGCACATTATTTGCTTAGAGATCAAAATAATAATAATTGCTTAGATCATCAAATAATATTGATGTTTCGCACAATAATTGCTTAGATAATAATCAAATAATCGTACTCAAAATCATATTTCCTAGACGCCTCACCGCAAGATGGCGTCGCCTCGTGACAGTCCAGTCAGTTGTTGATGCTCGGCAGCAACTCGTTCCTCACTGCAGAAGAAGAAAAAAATCAAACGATTTTCGAAGCACGTGGTGGCGTCCACGGTTATCGTCAATTACTCAATGCTTCCCTTGTAACAATTCATTACACGAAATAATTCACAAACTTGATCATTACGTGTACGGAGCACTGAAATGCTTTCACTCCGAATGTTACCGAGCTCATAATCGTCTCATTTAGAAACACACATCAACGTTTGAAACAAATTTATCTTGTGTTGTTATCGATAACTTTTTGCATTTAAATACGCATACCTCAAAGCGCTTCAGAAAAAAAGACGTAACTATAGATAGCAGATAGCATCTCATCTGAACATTCGTATTTCACAGGCCGCTAACGTCTTTTCTAATCGCGTATCTCTCACCAAAAACGACACTAACTAAAAACTACTTTTTCCTATAACCTTAAAATGACATGAACAGCTTGTATAAAAGAAATGACTGAGTATGTGTACCGAGAAATGAATATTTTTTCAATAAAAAACCAAAAAGTGTTTTTCAAAAAATATTTCGAGTTATCCCGATTCGTTTTGAAAGCATATTGATATTTTGTTAACGAGGTTGCCCGGGTGGTAAAAAGCTAGATAATTAAATGTTGACTTTGCTTCAGGAAAGATTATTAGTTTACGTTTCTACAACAAGCCATAATTTAAACTCAGATTTCAACTGGAAACCAACTGAAGAGATTCATTGTCCGGAGTGACTCGGTTACTGAGCCGTGACGGGTTCAATTGGCCACGGATCAGTGACAGGCGAGTGACAGAAGTGTTGGCGGTAGCGCACCATTGTCCACACAACAGTAACTAATGACTAACCACTACCTAACTGATGGCTCTACCGCACGGAAGTACTTTGGTAAACGGAGTTCAGTGACGGCGATGAACTGAACTTCTAGACTTGCTTCAATCAAGCCGAACCGCTGTACAAACACCTATCGGGATTGTTTGCACTATACGTTCCAGGTTTAACAGAAACAGAAAGATGGAAATTTTGGTGGAAAACAAAAATAAATGGAAATTTTATCTGAAATTAGGTACAAATAATAAACAAACATGATAATGAGCAAACGATACCAATCAAATTAAATTCTATGTTAAATCTAAAATAAACAAATCTGAAATTATTGACTTCGATGATGGTTTATATGGGCCGGGATATGGAATTTGTGCATTCCGCTGATGCTGGTCAAAAGCAGTGCGCCATATGGGACGCACAAAGAGTATAAACTGTTTTTATTTAGCGTGAAAATAAATGACAGTCAGCAAAAAAACAGGCAGATAACCATTAGTTCAACTCCATGTGCAGGCCGTCAACAATAGCACAAAACCTCAATTGTGGCCGCAGATGCGCACCACTTGAAGAGTTCGCTTGCAGTGTAGGGACCTCCCTCCATCCAGCGTATATATAATAATGACGAAATAAATTACCGATGACCAAATAAATTGCGCGTCACAAAGCCCTAAGCAGCACACAGGAGTGGTGACAAGAACAAAATAGCCGAAAAGTAAGTGCCAATGACAAAATAAATTGCCCTTCACAAAGCCTTGAACAGCGCTTAGAAGTGGTGACAGGACCAACTTAGCAGGACGATAAGTGCTAATTCGTCAAGAATTCACTTCTGGACAGCGCAACTCTTCCGCTTGATTTGATGTAGCATAACCAAGGGTCGGAAATTGTTGTATTTCGCGGCAGTTAGCAGATCTCATGCGGTTGCGTACACGGAGAGAATACTTTTAGAGAACTAACGACAATTTTTTTCCATTTGGGGTTTCAAACTCCAGAAAAAACTATTGCAATCTCCGAGTTAAACATAAGTTTATTTTATCAGAGTACATACCTTACTAAATGGTGATCGAAACGGTAAACCATAAGTATCGTATTCTACTGATACGATATTGATACTTGGAAAGTTCGAATCATACTGCAAGTTATTGCTATCATAACTTGGAAACATATAATCTCACGGATTCTGTAAATTAAGGTGAAGCAAATACTTGGAATGAAATGCAAGTCAAAAACGAAACTATCATTTTTTAATGTCTCTAAGGACCATCAATAAACTTTAGCAAGGGAGATGACAAAAGGTAAAAATGCTAGTAAAATGCCTCTCAGGTGAAATTTTCGTAGCATTTACTCACCAATACAGAAGTGATGGGTGATCATGCAGAACACTGGTGGGTAGAAGGGAAGACTTCTTCAGTTGGCTGTGCGTGAGGAAAGTGTCGACAAAGTCGCCATACGAGGCTTGCAGCGCGAGAGCGGCAAGCTGGAACGCAAGGTCGCTGTCAACTCCAAGCTGATCCTGTAATTGAAACAATTACAAATTGTTCTTATATTTGATAGGTGTCAGTCCGATATTTCACACGATGTAGCTTATGCACCAATTTTCTAGAATTACAGGCAGCATCAGCACTATAAAACAACAGTGAGATGAAGGTGCCATAAAATGAAACTAAAAATAAACCTTGCAAAATTGAACTAATCCATAGGGAATTTAAATCTTCAATGAATGGTAGAATTTCCAGCACATGAATGATGAAACCATTCACAACAAGCTGAAGACGACATAGGAATATTTAAGACTCTGAGAGCTTAAAACTCCAAAAAGAAGTTATAAAAAGATATATGAATAACTTCAAGTTGAAATACTATCATTGTATCAATATAGGTATGGTAATTACAGTACAAGTAAAAGTTGTAAAAAAAATTGTAATAGAAAAGGATCAAATCTTATAAAAAATCCTTGATATAAATTGCAAATTTAAGCAATGAATAAGAGAAGTCATTGAGTACATCTAACTGAATTAAAGGGTGACAAGCATTTGAATTCTATTCACGCACTAACAGAAACAATTCCTTTATATCAGCCACCAACAACTGCAGGGTTGGTGGAGTGAAAGTTCATTACCAGCTCATTTCTGCCAAACTAACGAGAAAAATTGCAAGTTTCCCCACGAAGATGATCGTACGTTGGAAACACATGCAGTGCATGACTTTCAACAAACGGCGACAGAACAGACAGGAAGCGATGCTTTGAAGGAAGACTGACAAGGAATTAAATTTCCCAAGTCCAAAACCTGTCATTTGCTGCATGTATGTCAAACGGCTTCAACGGAAATAATATACGTTTAAAAATTACATTTTAAAGACAACACTTCTAAAGAACACAGTGTCTCCAATGTCAAAGATGTACAATGAATTTCTCATTTTATTTTCGAATATTGAAAAAATTACTTTTTCAATTTTTTTTATTTATATTTTTTTTAAATATTTATTCCGTCAATTGATTCATGCATTGCCTGCGATTTAACACAAGTGTGCAAAATTTCAGATCAATTGGACAGGTAAAAGTGTGTCAAGTATGTTATTTGATTTGTAGCTGACAAAATTATTTTTTAAATTTTTTAATATCGAAATAAACAAATTATTTTTAAAATCATTTATTTTGTCATTTGATTCTAACATTGTCTCCAACTTTACGCAAGTGCGCAAAATTTCAGATTGATAAGATAAGTAGAAGTGTGTTAAATTTCGATTATAAGATTTGTAGCAGACAGACAAACAAATGAACAAATAAGAAGTGAAGTTAAAGCGAAGTCTTATAAGAGAGTTACTGAGCTTATTACTATAATCTTAAACTGAACACAAACGATTTATTCTAGTTAACGCGATCAAACGATAGGAGACTTAAATATATTATACCCTAGAATAAATATGAAATTACTGGGTATATTACTATAGTCTTGAACTGAACATAAGCAATTACTGCTTGTGAACACGAGCAAACGTGAAGAGACTTAAATATATTATACCTTAGAATGTAAAAAAGTTACTGAGCTCATTACTATAATCTCATACTGAACACAAGTGATATCTTCTACTTAACGCGATCAAACGATAGGAGACTTAAATATAATATACCCTAGAATAAATAAAAAAAAGTTACTGAGCTTATTAATATTATCTTAAACTGAACACAAGCGATATTTTCTAGTTAACGCGATCAAACGATAGGAGACTTAAATATATTATACTTTAGAATCTAAAAAATGTTACTGAGCCTATTACTATAATCTTAAACTGAACACAAGCGATATTTTCTAGTTAACGCGTTCAATCGATAGCAGACTTAAATATAATATGACCTAGAATAAATTAAAAATTACTGGGCATATTACTAAAGTCTTGAACTGAACACAAGCAATTTCTGTCCAAAACCTGTCATTTGCTGCATGTATGTCAAACGGCTTCAACGGAAATAATATACGTTTAAAAATTACATTTTTAAAGACAACACTTCTAAAGAATCCAGTGTCTCCAATGTTAAAGATGTACAATGAATTTCTCATTTTATTTTCGAATATTGAAAAAAATAATTTTTCAATTTTTATATTTATATTTTTTTCAAAATTATTTATTCTGTCAATTGATTCATGCATTGCCTGCGATTTAACACAAGTGTGCAAAATTTCAGATCAATTGGACAGGTAAAAGTGTGTCAAATTTGTTATAAGATTTGTAGCTGACAAAATTATTTTTAACATTTTTTAATATCGAAATAAACAAATTATTTTTAAAATCATTTATTTTGTCATTTCATTCTTACATTGTCTCCAACTTTACGCAAGTGTGCAAAATTTCAGATCGATAGGATAAGTAGAAGTGTGTTAAATTTCGATTATATGATTTGTAGCAGACAGACAGACAAACAAACGAACAAATAAGAAGTGGAGTTAAAGAGAAGTCTTCTAAGAGAGTTACTGAGCTTATTACTATAATCTTAAACTGAACACAAACGATTACTTTTAGTTAACGCGATCAAACGATAGGAGACTTAAATATATTATACCCTAGAATAAATAAAAAATTCCTGGGCATATCACTATAGTCTTCAACATAACACAAGCAATTTCTGCTTGTGAGCACGATCAAACGATAGGAGACTTAAATATATTATACTTTAGAATTTAAAAAATGTTACTGAGCCTATTACTATAATCTTAAACTGAACACAAGCGATATTTTCTAGTTAACGCGATCAATCGATAGCAGACTTAAATATAATATGACCTAGAATAAATTAAAAATTACTGGGCATATTACTAAAGTCTTGAACTGAACACAAGCAATTTCTGCTTGTGAACACGATCAAACGATAGGAGACTCAAATATATTATACCTTATAATGTAAAAAAAGTTACTAGGCTTATTAGTATTACTATAATATTAAACTGAACACAAGCGATGTTTTCTAGTTAACGCGATCAAACGATAGGAGACTCAAATATATTATACCCTAGAATAAATAAAAAATTACCGGGCATATTACTATAGTCTTGAACTGAACACAAGCAATTTCTGCTTGTGAAAACGATCAAACGATAGCAGACTTAAATATATTATACCTTAGAATATAAAATAATATGCGTTTAAAAATTACTTTTTAAAGACAACACTTCTGAACAATCCAGTGTCTTGGATGTTACACATGTACAATGAATTTCTAATTTTATTTTCAAATATTGAAAAAAAAAATTATTTTTCAAAATTTTTTTAAGATATCAAAATTTCGTACATTTTCAAAATTATTTATTCTGTCAATTGATTAATGCATTGTTTTTGACTTTATGCAATTGTGCAAAATTTCAGATCAATTGGACAGGTCAAATTGTGTCATATATGGATTATAAGATTAGTAGCAGACGAAATTATTTTTTAATTTTTTTTATAATGAAAAAAAATTTAATTTATAAAATTATTCATTCTGTAAATTGATTCATGCATTGTCTCCAACTTTACGCGAGTGTGCAAAATTTCAGATCGATTAGACAGGTAGAAGTGTGTTAAATATTGATTATAAGATTTGTAGCAGACAGACAGACAGACAGACAGACAAACAAACAAGAAGTGAAGTTAAAGAGAAGTCTTGTAAAAATAAGCAGTCTTGCAGTCTTGGAATAGATTGAGTTCAGTCATGACTTTCTGGCAAGTTGATTTCGAGTTTTATTTTATTTGCATTGAAACCAAAATGAATAAAAATTTTTTAACATCAAAATTAACAGAATAAAAAATGCAAGGCGGACAAAGGCAAAAACTTCATAATGATTATTACGTTGGCACGATGACAATTAATTACTAAAGACGTTCATATACCCTTGATGTTCATACGTCAAGTTAATTATGTGATCAAACTGTTTACATTATGCCCGATTTTTTAACACTCAACGTTACTCATTTCTTAAAAATTCATACCCGGGCTCAACTCAAATCAACTTACCGACAATTTTAGCTCTGTAATTTACGAGGTTACAAAAGATTTAAGGTACTAGTTCGCATGTCGAAGCTCCTATTGTTAAGCCCAGTTGCAAAGTGAGCATGATTATTTTTTCGTAGCATCACAGAAAATAAGACAAAATACTAAAAACCTACGAATGTGACTATAAATAAATCGAACAAGGAAACACCGCCAGTGTACCTAGCCAGGGCGTTAATGTCATTTATTGTTGATGAGAGCTGAAGACTTGCTTGCAGTAAAGCAAGTGGCGCGAAACAAAGCGGGTGAGATTGGATGGCGAAGCGCTTCCGGGGAAAATATCTTTTTATAATAACTTTTTCACTTCAATAATGTATATGAAGAGTTAAAAACACGGCTGCTGAAGAGTTCATCAGCTGCTCACCAGGACTACAATTAAAGCAAATGGAAGTCATCTATCGGAACAATCGGATCTTAAAAATGGCACTAACTGGATGGATTGGAACTAACAGTACCAAGGAGATATTCTAAATATGTTTTAATTCATTAGAGAACGTATCGCGCATATTAAAAATATTTCTACATTAAAGCATTCATGATGTGAGCCTGAGTAATATCAGACTGACAAAAAAGGAGGGGGGGGGGAGCCACCAGCCGCGTCGCTATTCACGTAGCGTTGAAGTCACCGATGCGTTCGCGGTATAAATACGAATTCATTGAAGGATGATAACGGTAATCAGTCATTGCATATACAAAAATTTAAATTCATGTAATGTCATGTAATCCATTTTATTGATTTCATTTTCATTTCATGAAAATTCACGTAAACGTAGAGTAACGTCAACGTAAACTTACCACTCTCCATAATATGACTGTTTCTTTCGTCAAACGTTCCTATATATATGAATAGAACAGCAACCAACGCATGAGTAATTTTAAAATAACGTAAAAGTAAGCTAAATTTTAAAATCAATTTTTTTATCGGAGTGGTACAAATAGTGAAACGGTTTTTACTTGAATATTCGTATCCAAAATTCCACTTTTTG